GTAATAAACTGTCCAGTTAACATTATAACACATCAAACACATACATGACTTCTTACATGCATCTCCCTTCCACTATAGTGCCCTCGATTCCCAGATCGTTCAGAATCATGCACCGGCACTATGACACCATTTATCTGGACTGGGAAGAACCTGCAGAACCTAATGGCATTCTGACCGGATATATTCTCAAATATCAGACGTGTAAGTGCACTTTCATCACCTTTTTTTTTAAAGCATAAGAATCGATTTTTTTTATGAATAGAAAGCTCAAAAGAACAGCATTTATTTGAAATGGAACTTTATAAATGTCTTTATTGTTCATCAATTTAATGCATTCTTGCTAAATAAAATATTAAAAACATTTACTGACTATAAACTTTTGAATGGTAGTATATGTGTAAATTATATAAACTATTATCATGATATGCCATAATTTTGACAGTCTCTTAAACTAAAATTTAATTCACTGTGGTAAAAACATTAATAATTAACTGGTTTAATGATCAAAAATGCACGCAAACCATGCATGTCTCTCCCCCCAAAAATGTAGCATTCCTTAAAATGATGACATTATTTGTAGCTTTTCTGCAGCATTTTATTTTATTTATGTTATTGTTTGTTGATTACACAAATCAGAGTTCGAAATGGTATCTAGCCCTACAAGACTGTGATGATAATTTCTCTTTAGTGAACATCACTCTGGGCGACAGAATCCTGGTTGAATACATTCCTCCTAATATCACTTACTTCTCTCTGCGCCGTTTTGACCGTTACACTCGATACAAGTTCTCACTGGCAGCACAAACTGAGACTGGAGTCGGGGAGGCGTTCACAGAGGAATCACCCCATTTTACAACTGAGGGTAAGATGTCTTCATTTACATTCATATGATCATTGTTCTGTAAACACAAAATGATTCCTTACATCTACTGCATGATTGGCTGTGTGCATGAACAGAGTATACCCGGGATCAAGTGGACATTGTGACGCAGGGCTGGTTCATTGGCTTAATGTGTGCAGTTGCTCTCCTCGTTCTTATCATGCTCATAGTCTTTTTCATCAAGAGGAGCCGAGGAGGAAAGTACCCAGGTGCAATATAAATTACTTGAGACAAATTACTATATACAAAGTGTCTCCTGAGACAAGTTACATATAATTATTATGCATTTTTATAATATATGTGGCAAAATATATTCTTTTGTTTTTTTGTTTTTTGTAAGTGCGGGACAAGAAGGACTTTGCACTGGAGCCAATGGATGATAGAGAGAATGGAACGTTTGATTACAGGTGATTTTCTGTTTGTTTTATGAACATTTTCTCTAAGTTTATTTACTACAGGGACAGTTTATTTTCAGTGCTGCACTTAAATGAAAACAGCATGTGAGATACACTAAAGGGTGAGAAATTAATCAATCAATTCTATCATTTACATCATAACATAATCACATTAGCACAGGTTGATTTGAAGTATGTACTGTATACCACAATAATTGTTCCATTTTCATCACTCCATCCATCAAACATTTCTCACTTTGTTTATTCCTCCTTTATTTTTGTTTATGTCTTTTGCGATTGGACCACTGAAGGTCTCTTGAGAGGTATGAATGTCATACATATGTTATGTCATACATAATAAGTGTTTACTTTTTT